AAAATTGCACTTTGTTGGTTCGTTCGTGGGTTTCAAGGTTATAATGGAAGTCAGCAAACGTTCCCCCCCCCCGTTCCTACAAATTATCAGAGCTATTTAATGTAATAGTATGTAAAGTAACCAAATAATTATTACTAAAATTAGTGAAAGTATAACATTAGTTTGGATTAAAATATTCCATCTTATCAAACACAACCAGGAATATTGAAACCACTTGGAATCTTTTAGGTGGTTGCAAAGAGCGTTGCGTTAAAAAGGGACTTGGATGATTTTCGGTTTGAAATTCCGTCGGTAGTAGGACAAAATCATCGAAGATAATATCCAGAGGACGGGGTGTGCGATAGACTTACCTCCACGTGTTGCACCCTGGGTAACGCATACTCATACGGCAAAAAAGTCTACAAACCGGCAGTTGAATTCTGACTTCAAACTACAACGATCCCCCTGGTTGTCATATTCGACCCCTTCCACAGGACTCACCTTACCTTTTTCTCTACCTTTGTGTCTGGCTGCCTCTTTTACATCTGTGAATCGCTCTTCTGTTCCCCCACCCCTCGACTTTCTGTGAAGCCCGAAGTCAGCTAAATGGCTAATGATATCTATCAAAACGCCTGCCATTTGAAATAAATAAATATCCAGAGGACCATTTCCGGTTTCGATTATTTTGCTCTGTTCCAGGAGCGGAGTTGCTTTCAATGATACACCAATTGTAGCCAACAATATTCACTTAATATTGCATGCAACCTTGTTGCGTTCCGATGATTCTTCCGCCCATAGTCAAGGACGCAAATTGTTGCGTTCGTTGCATAAGTCTTTGTGGTTATTAAGACGAATTAAAGAAGATTGAACCACTTGGAAGCAAGTCATAGTGAATTGTCTTGGGTTTTCGCTCCATAAAAACACTGGAAGGTGACGATGTCATTCGATGATGGAGGAGGAGCCGTTGGATATGTCTCTTCCATTGTCACCTACCAACGTGACTCCTAAAGTGCGAATATCTTCCATGGTCTCCGCCAACACTGAATCTTTACCTACTACATACAATATCAAATGCTAAGCTTTCAGTTTCGTCTCCCATAGTCAGACATGCGGTGGCGGTTTCTTCGTCAGAAAACACTTCTGATTGGAGGTGAGGCGAGGAACTTGATGAACTCGTCAAAATTCTGCAGCTCACATAAACCACCTTTTTATTTCTACTCATAACCCCCCCCCCACCCCAACACTAGATACTAATCGGCTCGTACGGCCCCCCCCCTCCCCTATCCTAATCTCCTATTAGCTTGATTCGAATTCACCCTTGTCTGCTGTTGTTAGATGACAGCTACAGTCCGAGTTCCTACACGTCACTTCCAAATCATTACCTCAAATAGTTTAGCGACTGTATGGGTTTCTCTCTTTTTCAGCAACCCACTCTGAGTGGTCCGAATAACATGCCGTGTTGGCAAAAATTCACTGAGTAACTGATGTAGCACTATCCCTCGTAATTTTCCAAAGATTTTCTGAGTCGGTGCAACGCCAATCCTACTAAAGATATATACTAGGTCTATAATAGAGGCCACAAATTTCTCAGGTCGAAGATGGAGGCCTCATTCTTGAATACACACTGAAGAAATGCAATAGCACATTCTTGGGGTTTCTGTTGTGAGCGCCTAAAACGATTGCGACATCTAGACATGCAGTAGAGCCAGAAAGGCTCAATAACATGGTGTCCACCATTATTTGATGGCGAATTGAAGTCTGGTAAATCAGTATATAGGCTATGATGGTTCACGTGACGTTGGTGAAACTTCGATTTGCAAACAAGCCTCTGTTAAATCAAACTTTGCAAATGGAACTGGAAGTTAAAGATGGCAAATTAACTAAGACCCTCTCGTAAGAGCTTGGTAGAACGCGGAACAATTATTTCAGCTGTGAATGAGGTGGTGGATGCAGTAGAATGCACATGAATGCAGATGGGACTATTCAGAAGACAAAGTTGACTGTCCCCGTCGAGCCCAGACAAAGTAATTTGAGAGTCGCCTACATAAGCTGTTTGATGTACCACGACCCAGATTGTGAGACTGGTTCAAGTTTTTGACGACCTAGTGGTATCTATTTTGAAGATTAACACGATCGCTTCTGATCTGTAGATTCTGTCTTTTAGTGCTGTCAACACGGAAGTCGGTGATGAAAATTTAGCTAGTATGATCGTGCGGTCGGTAAACAATTTGGAAGTACTGGGGAAGTATGCAGGCAACAGCCTTTTCTGAGTTGAAGCTTTCGATATTGTTTACATTGATATTGCTCGAAATGACGTTGTTGAGGAAGATGCTAAACACGGCATCGATAATGACGGTTTCTGTTCGTCAAAGGCATGCGGCTGTGCTACAACTTGCGCGGATTGGGGCATAGATGCAGATATTTAGTAATCAAGAAGGGTGGGCTTAGTGCAATAATCAATGAGATCTGAGCTACATGTCGGAATTTTCTATTATTCGTTCTAGCTGATGAAGTCCTTTGCTCGAAGTCTAGGAATCAAAATAAGGCATCTGAATTGTTCGTGTGACAAGATGCTAAAACTTAATAATGCCTGCAAGTGTTTACAAGTTAGCAAGTTTGAGGGCGGAATTCTGGTCAAAAATTGCTTCCCTGACACGTATATGGGCTCATCTGCTTCTTTGCACAGAATGAACATTGTGTAACGCTTATTTTCGATGGGACCTAGATTCCAGACGAGGCAAGGAGCTCTTTAGAATCATAAACACACGAATTGACATTTTAGTGGCACCTTCGGCGGTTACAAGAACGGAAATTCCAGCATATTAGAAAATTGTATTAAAATATAACAAATGTATAGAGGGGGAAGACATAATAGAAGATTCCGCAAGCAGAGAACGTTCAAATTTGGTCGAAAGAAAGACTACTGAGCAGGTTAAACAAATGCGAAAACGCACAACTTGTTAAAAACCTTAGTAACGTCCTAAATTGCCAGCAAACTTATTCTATTTCCTCAAAACCAGCCAAATAACACGACACGATTTTAGTATATTTGAATAATTATGTTAAATTTGTAAATAATTAATAATAAAATTAGTAAAATTCACTTTAATTTCTTTTTTAATTTTAATTTTCAATTTTATTCAACAAGAATAATAAGAAACTAACTTTAATGTCCTAATTACCTGATTCAATGAATTCGTTTCCATTTTAAAATTCCAACGGCTACTAAGAACATCCAAATTAATTACATTGCTTCTTTATTTATATTTATATGACTCACTAAGGATTAACAATTCTAACTTAAACACAAAAAAAATTGGAGCATCTTTCAACACGCATTTTGGAACCTCGAATAAAATACTGACCAGAATGAGGCTTCGACTCAGAGGTAGCAGGAGGTTTGGAGACACTAGCAACGAACGGAACTGAGGTGGGTGGCTGGGCTAATGGAATATCGTCGCCGAATCCAAGCAGGTCATCTATAGCGATGTCAGCCTTTGCTAAATAAATAAATATGTAGAGGTAATAATTAAGATATGAAACATTAAATTCTGTTGATTACTACCACGGTCCTCATACCCTGATTCAAGTATAAGTAAAAACGCTTGAAAATTATTGAGAAAGAGAGTGAAATACAAAGGTGTCAAATAAGATGGTCTTGAAGTTCCTCCAACACAATGATCACATGGAGGGTGGGGGGGGGGGGGGGGGAGTGTTCCCGTACCTAATTTAGGCTAATTGTTGAAAGGCCTCCTATCACAATGCCAGTCTAAATGCTAACATTACCCTCGTTGCATGTCAAGTTTGAGGGATCTTCTGAGTATTGAAAAACTCCAGTGGAACGAATCGCCCTATTCTTCCCCAAACCATTTTCTCAGAGCCAGAGTCAGGCGTCAAAATACTTCAGAAGCATTAAGTATATTCTTGACTTCACAAGAACTGTTGTTTATTCTGATGGTTTTAATGATCAGCCCTGACTACTCAAAGAGAATTGGAAACTTAAGAGTCTATATGTTTGGAACCCAAGTCCATGAAACTTCTGCATTATCTCAAGGTGGGTTAGCAATTTCTTGCCTGGATTATAGTTTCGTCCTATATCAATGCTTATTGACTAGTTCTTAATTAAGACGGTAGATCTTAGCGGTTCAAAAATCTGTTTCTTCAACAATTGAAATGGCAATATGATAGTTCACGTTGCTCAACAGCTTAAAGTCTTAAAATAACAGAAGTGAGGTGGGATAGAGGCTTTTTTCGTCGTTAAATAGTCATATTATTTGATAACAGATTATTAAAACCGGGGGCACTTTAGCTATGGATGGAAATTAAAATTTTGGTTTTCGGAGTGTCAAGTCCTGCTACAGAGAAGTTAGCTTCTCCGGTAGAATAGAGTACGGATTAAGGAAACATTCTTTTTGATGCCTCAATTACCACTTTATTGGGGAAAGAACTCTAATACCTCGGTGTTTCCTCGGCTGAAAACTGACATTTTATAGGCGTTAGCAGTTGCATTGGACACGGAGAAAAATTACCACGCAACTGAGTGCGAATGGACTTTTGCGAAATTTCCTATCCCGACATCTGGATAAATAAAACTAATCCCCCCCCCCCCCACTAGAATGAAAGGACGATGCGCAATCAACTAGGAATGTGGAACGCAACACGGACACAAAATGCTCTCAATGAGTGCGTGCGTGCGTGCGTGCATGCATGAGTGCGACATACTAAACAGCCCCATCCACCACTCAGAAACGAGCCTTCCTCGAGCTGTGATTGGTTTTAATGCGATCAATATGCGCGCAGGGTCGCAAAGTTTGAGGCTAGCGTCTTACTAACACCACTGCTGCTTCCTGGTTGGAAGGACGAAATGAAGGAGATGAAATTTGTAATCACACGATGCTAGAACTGGGAAACTGGCAAATTAAGTGAGATTAACTTAGGAACAATAAATCCAACAATAATGAAAGCTTTTACGTGACCAGTGGAATCCCCTGTTCGTCTTCACTGACAATTCTTAATTTTATTGGTGGGTTAAAAGTGACCTAGATTTGACCAGATATTGGCTTGAAAGTTCACACACAATTTAATAAGAAGTTTTGGGAGAGAAATCAGCGGTGTTTGAAATTGGGGGTTTAGTCATTTCTGTTGCAAATTTAGACTTAATCCAAACCTGTGGGTTCAAGGTAACGTCAAGTTTCAAAGGTTAAAAGTACATCTCTCCACAATAATTTTTTTCTGATTTTGAGTGACCTTAATTTGTAAATTTTGGAAATCAACGTTTGTACATACTTACTAAATGCACGAGAAATTGGACAAAGGAAGCATTAGGCATATATTAGGAGAACGGTTAGTAGGTGTTTGTTTGAAATAGATTTCTGAAGGACGAATGACAAATGGACGGTGAGTTGAACGGTCAAATCTATATTAATATTGAGTGAATAAAAAAATCACTCAAAATTATCTGTTGTTGAATAAACGATGCATTAGAGGGGTTGAAAAAGCCACCCTTCTTCAATAAAAATATTTGTTGGGCTATTCCAAATTTAATTTTTAACGATGACTTATTTAAAGTGGATTGGTCGTCGTTTTAACAATGGCATTTGGGCTTAATAATGCAGGAATTGTAACAAGAAATTAGATATTTATACTAACTAAAAAAACGATCTTCCATCAAAGAATTACTCTGGCAAGAAACCAGCCATTCACTGTCCTCTTGTCAACCGCAAGCAGAGCGATCAGCCATTGTACTCACTGCCTGCTCACCGACCCCCCTCCCCATGCTCTGACCTTGCATTCAGCCATGTTGACCTCAAGATTCCTTTGTCTACACAAAACCTTCCACAGCAGTTAGAATTTATACATAATAACTCTTTTTTTGTCAAATTTAGGTCACAGATAACAGTAAATCAATATCTCCGTTCGACGTAAGAGGGCAATTTCTAAATTATTGTTTGTAAATTTTCTCCTCTCCGCAAGCTGCGAAGAGCGTTACATTGTGGAATGGTGTTTTTGATCGCTTATTAATAGATATGGCTAAAGAGCTCACTTACTCTTTGTGAAAACAAAGGTTACCGAATCTACAGAAGTTTGAGCAAATGGAAAATTTTCAGGGGCATAAAATTGCGTTTTTTTGTTAAAAACTGGCAGCAGATCGGTACACGTACGAAGACTCAAGTTCGTGTTCATTCTAACTGACACACAAAGACCCATAAAAATCACAAGATATTTCTCTCAACCCTGACTATCAACACTCAATTCCGACGGCCTTCTCTATTACCCCCCAAACTTCCCAACGTAAGGCTTCCAACTTTTCTTTTCCAATTATTTCCATTTGTTAAATATGCAAGCTGACTTCTCATTTGAGAGAGTCTGCTGTTTTCCGTTTGACTACGGCAGGGGGAATTTCCAAGCCCAACTTGTCCGGACACTTAGAGAGTCCATTCAACTGCGTTAAAGACAACCCATATACCCATTTGAACTAGATGGATTGAAATGAATCACAAACCTTCGGGGTCAGGCTTTTCGTGGACTGGAGAGGAATGTTCAGATGAAGGTGTCGGATTAACTGAAGAGGCGATGTGAGGCGGTGGAGGTCGAGCGGGCGAAGGACTTCTTGACCTTGAGGAAGAAACTGGACGAGCGCCATCACCACCTTCTGATTCGTTCCTTCAAGACAGATTTCAAAGCAAATGCTATGAATAATAAAGTCAAGTAATTTTAGGGTGTACCAAACTTTATATTGAGGGTATTTATCACTATCTTCAAATTCGACACCACGAATTATCGTTGTTTTACTGAAAACTTATCACAATTCAACTCGAAATTAAAGAATTATTTCACTTAAAAAATTTAAGAATAAACATTCTTTCAGTAAGAAACATGAAATTGGAAAGAAATTATAAAATGAACGCCAATTTTGTCAAGCAAATATATTTTCAACTTTTGCAAGGCTTTGTCCTGATCTTACTTTCTTACGATATACACCTACACCTAGATGCCAATCATTTCATTAAATGAAGTGGAAAAGCAACAGCAAAGAAAAGGAAGAGAAAAACCTACGTGAATTTGCGGGTTTGTCGGGGGGTGAGAGCCACGGAGCTCTTGACCGCCTGGTTGGTGCGATCCGCCGATTGAATGAAGTGGCTTGTGGCGGCTGCAATGATGGCCTGCTGTTGCTCCGAAGGTAAACCTTCAAGACAATGACACGGTTAGGAGCGCAAAAGAATACTTCTTGGGTGTCATTATGATGGTTAGTGGCAATTTTAACTGCTCCAAGCCAGTTTAATCTCACTATCTTCGCTATTTGAAGAGCGATTTACTCCGTTACTGTTACTGTGTTACTCGAAAGAATGTTAGACTTCTTTTGTTGTCATTATTATTAATGGAACAAAATGGAAATCAATACAAATCTTTGTTCAATAAAAGCCCTAACTTTCTGTAATTGGTACCTATTTTTTCTCTAAACGCGACACTTTCAAGATTTCAAGGAAGAAAAGTTGAAGGTCAAAGATGCCATGATAGCAATTGAAATCTGGTTTCCCTCCCCCCCACCTCACACAAAACACGTCTTTCCTTCCCTACAATATATACCATATCGAAAGCAATAAGGCTTTGTTCAAATCATCTTTTGGAAAAAAATTGTTTAATTTTTTTAATAAGATTAAATAGGATCTTTTAAGAAATAATTAAAAGTAGCAAAAGATGTGTTATTTGAATGAAAGTCGAAACTAATATTTCTTTCAAAAAATCTAATATACATACATACATATATATATATATATATATATATATATATATATATATATATATATATATATATATATATATTAATAAAAAGCATTTAAGATATCCATAAAATTATGTATAATTTTTTACCAACACTAACCATCTGAACTATTCTGCTCGTCATCTTCATACTCCTCCTCATCTTCCCGTCTTGTCTCTTCCCTTGACTCAGCCTTTTCTTCATCTTCTTGGTGGTCATGGTCTTCTTCATTCACTGGTAGACCATCGTCACCTTCCTCCTCCGGCTCCTTCTGTTCTCCATCGGGATCAGTTACAATGACCTCAGTTAGCGAAGGAGCAATATGACTCGAGTCAGCAGTGCTAGTAAAATCAGCCAAAGTGGCAAGGAGTGCAGAGTTGCTTTCTTGTTCCACGGGCTTTGTCTTGGAGGCAGCGACCTTTGGAGAGGTCCCTGGACGGGCTGGAGACTTTGGATGGGCGGGAGATGCGTGTGGCTTTGATTTTGGTAGAGGAGGTTTGGAGGATGTATGATGCTCTTCTGGAGTCTTTGCAGGCTCTTCCTCTTCATCATCAAGCTGACCACTAAGAGCGGCAAAGGCAATTTTACGAGGAAGAAACGATTGGCTAAATCTCTTGTTTAAAATGATGACTTTGGAATCTCATTCCATGGGTAAATCAAACTGGTTGATTAAAAAGAAGGACTAACTTTTTAAAACCTTTTCACCAATTCTTGAATTGAAAATTAAGAATTCTTTCTCTGAAGTTTACACACTTTATACTTTTTTTTCTTACCGCTAGTCTAATAATTACTACGAAAAAATTATATTACAAAAAATTACTTTGGTTTCTTTTTCTTTTGCAAGAGAGCAAGATGCTGTTCCATTGCCTCCAAAATTTGTGGTGGAACCTGCAAATGATCAGATGATAAATCAATAAAGTTCATTTAAGAATTATAAAATGAGAATAGACTTACAGGATGCAGACCCATTGATTCTTTGTCCCCTATTCCAAGATGCTAAAAAGAAATTAAAACGTATTGATGAGTAGGACAATGCTCACACTTCCACTCTAATCCGCACTGAGTTATTAACGCATTAAAATATCGCGATGATATGGCAAAAGTTCCCTCCTAAAATGAAGACCTTAGAGCTGGGCAACTGGCATTTCTCGTTCCAACTTTATATAAAAGTTTATCATTTGATATAAAGGGTGTGCGATAGACTTACCTCCATGTGGTGCACCCTGGGCAACGTATACTCATACGGCAAAAAGTCTATTTATCGGCAGTTGACTTCTCAGTTCAAACTACCACGACCCTACTGTGTGTCATATTCGATCACTTCCACCATACTTATCCTACCTTTTCTCTGCCTTTGTGTCTGCCTGTCTTTTTAACATTTATAAACGCTCTTCTGTTCACCCTCCCCCCCTAGACTTTTTTCCATTTGATGTTCCTCTTCCCCTGTGAAGCCTGAAGTCAACTAAAGGGCTAACGATAACTATCATAAAGCCTGCCATTTGATATAAATAAATGAATCATTTGATATAAAGGCTGGTTTGAAAAGGTTGAGTATAAGAATGTGTTCGTAAGAATAAATGGATGATAAAATCGACACACATTTCAATATTGAAGAGAGGGGGAGGTGGGGGGGGGGGGTTCAAATTGACCGATGGAATAGATTTTAAGAGTAATTAATACCTTAAATAAAATTCTAGAAAGTGGAAAAAATATCCTCTTGATAACAAAATAATAAATGGTAAATATCGTTAGGATCTTCGACAAGGAATCGCTTTAGCTTACTTCAGCCACAGTCAAAAATTCATCCACCTTTGTCATTATGTTTGGAAAATCTTGATAGAGTTCCAATGCCGTCTTGCATTGAGATCTTTTCATAGAGAAATATTTTTCTACAAATAATAATCCATATTTTCAGTCAATAAGCAAGAAATAAATAAATAGGGTTAAAATTTTATTTATTAATACTTTAATAAAGCGTAATAGCTCACCAACAAGATTCATCATTCCCTCATTGTATGAAGCAAACAATCGAATTAGATCTTTGTAGAGTAAGATATATGCCGAGTTGATAATTAAATTATTAAGATCCTTTTCTGTCGCCTCAAATTCAAAAAGGACATTGAGTTGGTCTCGAAGAACAGGCAAAGCTTTTAGGAGCTGTGCAGAAAAAGGAAAGCAATATCATATTAGTAAACTTGATTCGCATTAATTAGATTGCAAGAGGCACAACAACAACGCTATTCAACAACAAAGATAGGACACTAGTGCACTTCATTTTCACCTTATCAGCCGGCATAATTCGCATAACACCATCATTTTTACTAAAGACACAGTTGGAAAATCAAGATCATACTAATAATAATAATAATAATGTAATAGATGAATGAAAGAAATAATTTACCCGCGTTTGACTTTGCAGAAATCAAAAGCCATCATTTGGTAAGACTTTGTCTTCTCCAATAAATATTTAGAATATTTGCGAATGAAAAGCGACATTTCGTAAGCTATTTAAATAATGACATTCGTAAGCAAGACCTACATTGAGAACTAGACTTGTCGTTAAAGTGTGGGAGATGAAAGCTAGTGTTGTTTGAGGCCATATATTGGGATATTTTCTGAAAATTAGATTGAAAAAATTGTATTTACCTCATTGCCATAATTGAGCAAATGGTGGGTCGTTATGAGTGACTTGAATACGATAACCCAGGACTTCTCACGAGTCCTTTCAAGAAGAAAATTGACCAGCAGTGGGATAGATACGTTTGGTTCATTGCTCATTCGAACTAAATCTATGCAGAATTAAAACCATAATACACTAAACTTACTTTCAAGGTGTTTCTTCTTTGGAGCAATCAATTCCTCGGTGGAAGCTTTGGCTATAACCTTCCCCAAAGCGGATCCAGCCAAACTGTACTTTGCTTGTGTAACTCTGTCCATTAGGCTCTGGCCAGTTCCACTCCCGGCTAGTTGTTTAGCCATTTTTCCTGCCATTTTAGCAGTCATTTTGAGTTAGACCTCAAAACCCGTTACAATTAAATGTGCAAAAGCCTCACCAAATAGGTCATTAATTTTCGTTGATGTGGTAAAACAAATTCATTGCCTGATAAATATCATTGTTATATCATACAAACTTAGGTTTTAAAAAAGTGGATTTTTCTAGTTCATTAATAGGATTAGGTAATTCATCAATCATATTGCTTTTGATATAATTTTTTGGAAACAATTTTGCAGATCTTGTCAGTATTGTTGGCTAATTATCTTAAAGCAAAAGATAATTTTAATTTAAAACGAACATAGATTTTTAAATAGTATAAAACTGCTTTATGCTTTAAAATTTTTTTGTAAATTTTTATGTATTTACTAAATCTATTGTCTTGTTACTCTATTAATCTTCCTTCTAGTTTTATAATAGAGGATTCAGAACAGCATATTTATTCATTCATTTCCATTTGCAAGAGTTTAACAGCCATATCAAGGTCAATAATTAGTCAGTTTGTCCATCTCTATTTCTTTACCTTACGGCAGTTCGCCTATATATTATGCTTTAAAATATTGACAGCTTTATTCGACCAACATCTACTGACCGCAAACCATAAGACAACATTTTTACATTTACATGTGGGTACTTATGTAGCTGCCACTGATAAAGCCGAGACGATAATAATCATAGCTGATAAATTTCTAACGAAGTTCGAATTTGTTTATAAATAAATTGAGGTATCAGTTCCGACCAAATTCGAAACTGTAATTACTTTATCTCGTAATTAATTGTATTATAATTAAAACAATAAATCTAATCCAACCTTTTTACATTAACTTTGTCTTAACGCTTCCTTCCCCAGAGGTCCATTTTTAATGCAAGTATTAAAATCAGTTGAAGAATGAAACAAGGCAGAGTTTTGTTCACAAAAAGTTGAACAGTTTTGCATCTAGCTTTCCTTATATTAACATTTTTTCTCATTGGCACTTATATCAATTTTGAAGATTCAAGATATCTTCAGCTTGCCTTTTAATTACAGATACTCGCTACTTTAAAACGTTTTTAATTATTTTTAATTAATTATTGTTAATTTTTTGTCCCCTAATCATTTTTATCGGAAATTAGTTTATTTTGTGCAAATTCGTTAATAAACGAGTGTAGGACACGTCTCGCATGCGCGTACACATAGGCTTGAGGGAAATGCTGATTCAGCCTCTGACGTTATCTTGAAATGCTTCGGGTTTCCCTTAAGCAAATCTGTGAGAGGTTGAAGGGCTTGAGCACATTTCGGAATAAATCTTCTGTAATAGTTTACTATGCCTATAAAGCGGCGCAAACCTTTTACGGACTGGGGCAATGGATAATCCATGATTGACTGCGCCTTCTCTGTTAAAGGCGTGATTCCACAACCATTGATATGATGTCCCAAAAAATCGATTTCTGACAGGCCAAATTTACACTTCTTGGGGTTGATCATGATCCCGTATTGCTGCAGACGTTCCAACACCTGTCTTAGGTGTTGTTTATGCTCATCCGAGCTGGAACTGGCAATCAGCACATCATCGACATATGTGAAAACGAAATCTAACCCACGAAAAACTTGGTCCATAAATCGCTGGAAGGACTGGGCGGCATTGCGTAAGCCGAAAGGCATACGTAAGTATTCGAATAAACCAAACGGTGTGATTACGGCCGTCTTTTCAATGTCCTCCGCATGCATGGGAATTTGATGGTAGGCCCGAACAAGATCGAGTTTTGAAAAAATGACTTTGCCATGCAGTTGTAACGAGAAATCGTGGATATGAGGAATCGGGTATCGGTCTGGGACGGTGATTCGATTGAGGGCCCGATAATCCCCACATGGTCTCCAGTCGCCGTTTGTTTTTGCGACCATGTGCAATGGGAAAGCCCATGGACTGTTTGAAGGTCGAACGATGCCTAATGTAAACATGCGTTGAAATTCCTCTTTAGCCGCACGTAGTTTATCTGGATGCAGACGGCGAGCTCTTGCGAAGACTGGTTGTCCTGTCGTACTAATGTGGTGATGCACCCCATGTTTTGGTTCCAACATTTCGGATTGTGCACGGAGGAGCGATGAAAATTCGGATAACAAGTTAGCAAAAGGGTGCGTAGTTGGAAGGACGACATTAAGACCGAAAGTATTTTTGGGTTCTGTAGAACATCCCACTTGCGATGACGTGGCGTTATCTTGGAGGGTTCTGTCTCGGAGGTTGACTAATAACTGGAACTTGGTAAAAAAATCAGCTCCGATGCTGGGATTTTTAACATCGGCGATAATAAAGGTGAAGGGAAACTTTTGACGAAGGCCTAAGTCTATATTAAGAAACTTCCGACCGTAGACGGCAATCTTAGAGTTGTTGGCTGCAAAAAGTGGATTTCCGGTTGGTGTTTGACAACGTTTTTCTAGTGTACGAGGAATGACGCTGACTTCGGAACCCGTGTCGACCAGGAATCTGATCTTTGAATTTCTGTCAGTGACATGGAGGAGGCGACTTTGGAAATGGCCAGGGTCAGTAGTCGCCCTTACTGCCTGGCGTTGGAGTTTTTTTGTGAGCTCCTCTTTTGATATGTACAACCGGTAACGCACTTCTGGGCCTCATCTCCGAATGTCCTGTGGTAAAAACAGATGGAATTATGAAGCTTGTAGGGGCTTCGGTATCGTCTTCTAGGCTCGAAACGTCGTCGCTCGCGCTCTCCAGGCTGATTGCATTGAGAAACAAGGTCTGCCACGATAAGCGACAGACTTTTTAGCTGTTCGTTAATTGCGTCAAGTTGTTTGTTATCAGTACTAGTAGAATTTGAAGTCTTGACTGCATTAACACCCGGCTTGTAATAACAGCGATGGACTATATCAGCCACTTCCGCTAGTTTGTCCAAGTTATCTTGATTAGGGTGTGTGGCAACCGCCGTGGAGATGTGAGCAAGTAGGTTATTTCTCCATAAGTCCTTTATGAAATTGTCACCCAAATTATAAATACCAGTCAGGGAGCGGATATGAAGCAGAAGTTCCGAAGGAGAACGATCTCCGAGTTCGACTTGGGACATTATTTGATGTAATTGGTCCTCTCGCGGAGCAGAAAAACGATTGATGACAGCTTGCTTGAGTTGCTCGTATGAGTTGTCATCTAGCAGTTTGGAGATAATATGCTTAAACTGTTTGACTATCATAGTCGGAAGCGATCCTGTAACGTATTGGAACCATGTTGTTCGGTTGTTGATACCTTTTGCCATGAGAATATCGCCGGGAGATTTTCGATCATTTTCATGGGTTGGCGCATCCGAGCATTCGTTCCACAACGAAGTTGATCACTGATCGATTCGTTTGGAAGAACATTCGACAGGACGTCCGCCTTTGGTCCGAAAATTGTCTCACTTGCCAGATCAGCAAGGTGCAAAAGCATACCCGCAGCCCAATCTACAACTTTCCTCTCCCCGAAGCCCGTTTCCGACATATTCATGTTGATATCGTGGGCCCACTTCCACAATCGAACTCTTTCACGCATGTCTTAACATGTATCGATCGTTTTACACGATGGCCAATGGCGGTTCCTTTACCCGATACCTCTTCGTCATCGGTGGCGAAGGCACTGATAGAGTCGTGGATATCCATGTTCGACGTTCCAGCCATTATAACGACAGACAGAGGATCCCAATTCACCTCTTCGTTGTTCCGGGAGTTAAATAACCTTTTGGGATCGACACACATCCGCACTACCGCTTATCACCCCGAAGCCAATGGTCTTGTCGAGCGTTTTCACCGACAGCTTAAGTCTGCCCTTATCGCTACTTCTTCTGGTTTAAACTGGGCGGAACGTCTCCCGATCATTATTCTATCCGTGCGAAATACTATCAAGGAAGATCTCGGATGCTCCCCAGCAGAACTCGTTCTTGGCACAACGCTCCGGCTTCCTGGAGAGATGATCTCTAACTTCCAAGACCAAGCCCCCATAGACCCGTTGTCATATTCTGCCCGTTTAAAGGAACATTTCAGAGCCGTCCGACCAACCCCTACTCGTTTGAATAACACGTCTACCCATATTCCTAAAGACTTATCCGCATGTCCTTTCGTTTTTGTACGGGTGGATTCAGTGAAAAGACCCCTACAACCACCGTACGAAGGACCTTACAAAGTCCTCAAACGCAAACCAAAATATTTCATTCTGGACCGCAACGGCAACAAGGACTGCGTTAGTATCGACCGTTTAAAACCGGCTTACCTGGAGCGCCCTATACCAAATCCCGCGGTTAGGATTCACCCCTCCGGTCCTACAACTCCAAAAACCGAAGAGCCTATTCCAACCTCGTCCACCTCCCCCACCACTTCAGTCCCTACCCGAAGATACTTCGGCCTCTGCAGTTCCCCCTTCTGCCCCTCCTCAACCTGAACCCTATCACACTCGCTACGGCCGAAAAGTTACCTTCCCCTCCAGGCTGGCCGACTATGTACACTCGATATGTACTTTCTCCTTTTAGGTTCCTTCAAACGCTCTGGGGGGGGGAGTATTGTGCGACACGTCATCGCATGCGCGTACACATAGGGTTGAGGTGCGGCCGTACAACCTCGCGTACGGATTGAGGACAAGAGCACGCAGCCAATAGCAGCTCAAGGACCCTCGCTTGTTTTACCAAATCCGCCATGTTGTATGACTTAGTCACCTGCCTGTACACACGGTATCCCCATACTCGTACTGTATAAACGTGCTTCGTACAACACGTCTGTTCCTTTATAACCTTGTCTTAGCTTAGCTAATTCCCGGGGACTTTCGAGTTAGAAGAAACTGCTATAGAGCTTTCTGAGAATAGTCAAGGTTATTGAGGTAGCTAATCCGCTACACGAGCAACAGTTTTCCTAGCAAATGCTTACCCGAATGACCATTTCCCAATAAAAGTATCCATGAGTTGCAAATTATATTTCCTACCTTATTGTAGTTCGAATCTTAGTAACTTTTCTGTTTACTCCCCTGGTGGTCTACAACCAAAAGAGGACTTGTGAAATATTTAT